TGACCTGTATGTGGGGTGGGGTGGGGTGGGGTGGGATGGGGTCCCTTCCCAGTGAACCTACACCCCCATCCCTCCTGTTCCTTCCCGCACTGGAACTTACTTGCTCGGCTTTGGCAGTGGTGAACATTGATAAAAGTGGCTGCACCCAGAGCAACTTGTGGGATGGGTGTTCTGAGCGCTGCCTAGGGGGCAGCAAGTGGCTGGAGGGGTGCAAAAAATAGACCTGTGCAGGGGAAAAGGGTAGTGAAAAGAGGAGCCTCCAAAAAGAGCACTGCCACTGCCTCTGCTGAGACCTGTGAGGTTCCTGCCCAGGCAGAATTGCTCACCATTGAGGCTTCCACCTAGGTCTGGGTTTGGTGCTGTAGGGACTGGAGCTTGCAGGTTCCTTCCAGTGACGGCCAGGTCAGGGGACATCTGAGATGTGCGTGGGACCTCCTGGTGGTGTCTCTCAGGGAACAGGCAAGACAACTACAGGAAGAGGTGGCAAGGCTCCAAAGCATCCTCTGCCATGAGTTCATCAATTCGATGCTGGAGGAGACCTCTGGGACTATGAAGGAAGGCAGCACTAGGGAAGAGAAAGGACATGGACTCCCAAGGAGGGGGAAACTGGAAGCTTGTGACCTCTGGCAACAAGCAGAAATCTTCATCTTCACCTGCAGCAGCTTATTTGGAAAACAGACATGCAGCCCTAGCAACAGAGGGCGAGGAGCACATTCCATTGATGGAGGAAGACAGGCCAGGCCTCCCCAAAGTGGAAAAGATCAAGACCGCTGCCACCAAGAAGCAATGGACGGTGGTGATTAGAGACTCCCTTCTGTGGGGGATGGACAGATCCATCTGCTGACCTAACCTGTTGTCTTGGGAAGTCTATTGCTTGCCCAAAGCCTATATCCAAGATGTCATGGAGGGACTTCTGAGACTCATCTGGCCCTCTGACTACTACCCCATGCTGCTTATCCATGTAGACATCAATGATACTTAGGGGAGACCCCAAGCAGATTAAAAGTGACTACAGGGCTCTGGGTGCAAGGATGAAGGGGACAGGGGTTCAGGTGGTGTTCTCTTCGATCCTTCTGGTCAAGGGAAAGGGCCTGGGCAGGAGTGGGTGCATCCTGCAGATCAATGCCTGGCTGCACAGCAGGGCTTTGATTTCTTTGACCATGGGATGATGTTCCAGGAAGAAGGATTTCTAGGAAGATGCCATCCACCTGACGAAGAAAGGAAAGAGCATCTTAACAGACTTGCTAACCTAGTGAGGAGGGCTTTAAAGGTTTGCCGGGGATAGAAACCAAAGCCCAGAGATAAGTGAGTGACCTGGAAGAAGAGCAAGCATGAGGGGACAACAGGGGAGATGTTCTCATTCTTCTTGAGAAGTCAGGGCAATCAACTAGTTACTTTATGTGCCTGTGCATGAATGCATGGAGCCTGGGAAAAAAGCAGGAAGAACTGGAAGTCCTCACACAGTCACAAAACAATGATGTGATTGGAATAACAAAGACTTGGTGGGAGCTTGCATGACTGGAGCAGTTATGGATGGGTACAAACTGTTCAGGAAGGACAGGCAGGGCAGAAGAGGAGGATGAGTTGCACTTTATGTAAAAGAGCCATATGATTGCTCAGAGCTCCAGTATGAAGCTGGAGATAGGCCTGTTGAAAGTCTCAGGGTCAAAGGGAAGAGCAACAAGGGGGATGTTGAGGTGGGGGTCTGCTATAGACCACCAGACCAGGAGGAATTGGTAGATGAGACTTTCTTCAAACAGCTAGCGGAAGTTTCCTGATCATAGGCCCTGGTTCTCATGGGGTACTTCAATCACCCTGACATCTGCTGGGAGCAGTGCATGGGCAATCCAGGAAGTTTTTGGAGAGTGTTGGGAACAACTTCCTGGTGCAAGTGCTGGAGTGGCCAACTAAGGGCTGTGCTCATCTTAATCTGTTGCTCACAAACAGGGAAGAATTGGTGGGGAATGTACTAGTAGATGGCAACTTGGGCAGCAGTGACCATGAGATGATTGAGTTCAGCATCCTGAGGAAAGGAAGTATGAAGAGCAGCAAAGGACCCTGGACTTCAGAAAAGCAGACTTCAATTCACTTGGGAACTCATAGGCAGGTTCCCCTGGGAAGCCAGTCTGAGGGGAGAGGAGTCCAGGAGAGCTGGCTGTACTTTAAAGAAGCCTTCCTGAGAGTCCAGAAACAAACTACACAGCAGTGCAGGAAATCTAGCAAGTACGGAAGAAGATCAGCTTGGCTTAGCAGAGAATTCTTCAGTAAACTAAATCACAGAAAAGAAGTTTGTAAGTGGAAACTTGGACAAATAACTAGGGGCAAGTATAAGAATATTGCTTGGGCATGCAGGGATGAGGTCAGGAAGGCCAGAGCACAATTGGAGTTGCAGCTAGCAAGGGATGTGAAGGTTAACAAGAAGGGTTTTTACAAGTATGTCAGTAGTAAGAGGACCAGGGAAAGTGCGGGTTTCCTTACTGAATAGAAGAGGCAACCTAGTGACAGATGTTGCAGAAAAGGCTGAAGTACTCAATGCCTTTTTCACTTCAGTTTTCACAGATAAGCTCAGCTGCCAGACTACTGCATCTGGCAACACCATTTGGGGAAGAGGTGAGCAGCCAACAGTGGCAAAAGAACACGTTAGGGACTACTTGGAAAAGATGGACATATACAAGTCCATGGGGCCAGATGGGATGCACCCGAGGGTGCTGAGGGAGTTGGCTGATGTGATTGCAGAGCCACTGGCCATCATCTTTGAAAACTCATAGTGATCGGGAGAGGTCCCGGATGATTGGAAAAGGGCAAATAGTGATCATATTTAAGAAAGGGAACAAGGAGGATCCAAGTAACTACAGGCCAGTCAGCCTCACCTCAGTTCCTGGAAAAATCATGGAGCAGATCCTCAAGGAATCCATTTCTAAGCACTTGGAGAAAAAGAAGGTGATTAGAAACAGTCATCACAGATTCACCAAGGGCAAACCATGCCTGACCAACCTGATTGCCTCCTGTGATGAGGTGACTGGCTCTGTGGATGTGGGGAGACCAATAGATGTGGTGTACCTTGATTTTAGCAAGGCTTTTGATACAGTCTCCCACAACATTCTCGCAGGCAAGCTAAGGAAGTATGGGCTGGATGAATGGACTGTACGATGGATAGAAAACTGGCTGGCAGTAGTCAATACTTTGATGTCTAGTTGACAGCCAATATCAAGTGGAGTGCCCCACAGGTTGGTCTTGGGGCCAGTTTTGTTCAATATTTTCATCAACAACCTGAAAGATGGCATAGAGTGCACCTGCAGCAAGTTTGCAGATGGCATCAAGCTGTGGGGACTAGTAGATATGCTGGAGGGTAGGGCTAGGATTCAGAGGGACCTAGAAAAATGGAGGACTGGACCAAAATGAATCTCTTGAGGGTCAACAAGGACAACTGCAAAGTGCTGCACTTAGGACAGAACAATCCCATGCACCAGCACAGGCTGGGGGCTGACTGCTGGGCAGCAGCTCTGCAGAAAAGAACCTGGGGGTTACAGTGCACAATAAGCTGAGTATGCACTTGTTTCCAAGAAGGCTAACAGCATGCTGGGCTGCATTGGTAGAAATTTTGCCAGCAGATCAAGGAAAGTGAATATTCCTCTCTATTCAGCACTGGTGAGGCCACATTTGGAGCACTGTGTTCAGTTTTGGGCCCCTCACTATAGAAACGATGTGAAGAAATTGGAGAGAGTTCAGCAGAGGGCAAGGAAAATGGGAAGAGGGCTGGGGCACACAATTTATGAGAGAGGTTGAGGAAACTGGACTTACTTAGCCTAGAGATGAGAAGACTGAGAGGGGATTTAATAGCAGCCTTTAACTCCCTGAAGGGGGGTTCGAAAGAAGATGGAATTAGACTGTTGTCAGTGGTGTTAGATGGCAGAACAACGAGCAATGGTCTCAAGTTGCAGTAAGGGAAGTTTAGGTTAGATATTGGGAATAATTTTCTCACTAGGAGGGCAGTAAAGCACTGGAACAGGTTACCCAGAGAGGTGGTGGAAGCTCCATCCTTGGAGGTTTTCAAAACCTGGCTAGACAACGCTTTGAGTGGGATGATCTAGTTGGGGATAGTTTTGCTTTGAGCAAGGAGTTGGACTAGATGAAGGGACCTCCTGAGGTCCCTTCTAACCCTAACTTTCTGTGATTCTATGATTTTACATTTCCTGGGCCAGGTGGCTACAACAGCCCTTCAACCTTACAAATAATTTTGAGGTATGCAGCGTTATCATAAATGGGGATCAAGCCATGGAGAGACCAAGCTTCCCCCTTGACACTGAACACTTCAAATAAAAGTTTGCGTATTTAAAACAAACAAAACAAAACAAAACAAAAATCAGAAAACGGATTAAAACACAACACTGGGTACAACAAAAAAACCCTCTGAACATCATGTTTAGACATCATTGTATAAAGCAAAAGACACCAGGCTTCATCACTGGGGAATTCTGACTGGGCTGTGACTTAACTGTTCGTATCAGCTGCAGCCAATCAAAACAAATCAGTTCTCTTCCCCAACAGCACAGCTGGCCAAATTCATTACATATGTCCAGCTGAAGAGTTCAGAACAACCAGTACTTTTCAATACAGCTGTACGAAACTAAGATTGCATCATCTTCTGCTCAACCTTTTGTTCACTATGGGCATGTTTACACATGCAGTTACCACACAGTAACTTAGGTTACTGCGCAGTAACTGAAAATAACTGTGTAGTATGGGGAACGTGTTTACACATGCACTCCCATACTGTGCAGTAACTATGGTGACTTATGCCAATTTGGGCATAAATTTGCTACCTGCATCATGTAATAAGTAGTTATTGTGCAGTAAGGCACATGCAGACACCTTATTGTGCAGTAACTCTGTGTGTATTGTCTGTCTTACTTGGGACTAACGTTAGTCCCAAGTAAGTCCATGCACAGTGTTGCTGCACTGTAACGCCTGCACATATAAACATCAGCGTAAAAACCGCTTACTGGGTAGTAACTGCATATATAGACATACCCTATGAGTGGAAATGATTTATACACAAGGACTTTCTGTTTTGCTTTCTACTGCCAAGATAACATCTTTGAAGCCTTTTACCAGTTGGCTCAGATTTGGATTGGCATCACTGTACTGGTATTTTTCTAACTCCTTTATGTGCATAATTATACAGAGATAATGTACCTTCATAACTGTGTACAGGGACAGCCCTGCTAGCGTGAGTACCTTCATCCTGACATGACGGAGTTCACACTGGGGAGGTGGGAACAGTTGTACAACTGCTGTATGTGGAAAAATCGGAAAACACGGGTGTAAGGTGAGGATTGCATCCCAATCCATTTGGGCCTCATTGTTCAGTTCAATTTGGAAGGAAGGCTTAGCAGAAAATAAGTATGTCACTTATTTTCAATATGTCACTGAAAATAAGACGTACCTAACAAGATTGTTCAGGATGCAACCTTTAATATAGACAAGTCTTTTCTCTATTTTATGTGCAAAAAATAGGTGTCCAAGGTCAGTAGTTCTCCCATAAAGTTTGTTTGTTTTCAAATGGCAAACATTTTGAAACAGCCATTTTAAGAGCAAAGTAATAAATAGTACAGATTTTCTTTGCCTTCTAGCTCTGTCTTAACTGATTACTTTACTTACTAGCAGTGGCTGTCTTAGATGGCTTCTCTCCATAGGCAGCATAATATAGTTTTCAACCTGAAGGCAAGGTGGAAGCAAGGTCTTCACAGGGAAAAAGAAACCTCATCACAGAAAAGCCAGATACCACTATCCTAGCAACCATTATGTTCACTTCTACTTTTTGTTCTGCAAAGTCCAAGCTATATTTCCAAGTTTTGGAAGCTTTGGTTTTGGGTCGTTGTTATTCCAAATTCCTTCTGTACCTCAAATAGTATTGGTATACATTTCTAATACAGTTAGATGGAGTTTAGGGTTTTATATTCCTATCCAGTGCTTTCTGAGCACCCTCTAATTAAAAAGAAATAAAATCCATAGTCAACTTTAGAGTCTCTCATTTTCCTCCCAACTACCATTTTTTAGGAAATTGAAAGCTCTGCTTGAGTAAGCAAATTTGAACGGGCAGGGGGAAAGCTGACGTGATAGTTTCCTGTTTTTGATAAAAAAGCTTTGGCAAAGAGGAAGATATAACAACATTTTGCAAAGATTAGTTGGCCTTTGACTGATGAAAGTTCATTCTGCAGCTGATCCTTTCAGCTGAGAATGCTTTGTCTCTAATTTCCATGTGTACTCATCCAGGATGTGTGATCTGCATTGTTCCAAGGCAGTGCAGCAGTTCTGGTGGTTTAGAGGGAGACAGAGATGATATCTCTACTGTAACTGGGACTCGAACCATTAATAGCTTTTATATTTGAGACTTAAGCTTTAAATTGGAAGTGAAGAAGGAGCCACTGGAAGGACCAGCATACAATACTGAACCTTGGAAGAAGGTGAATAGCTAAAAACAGCTTATATAGAGCAAGTAGTGTGAAGGTGATACCCAGAGCAGTTTACAAATAAAGTCAAATATTTATCAGTTCTGAAGAAAATGCTGAATGTGATTAGGAGCAATGTTTAGGGGTATTTTGTCATTGTTTACATCTCCTCATGCTATTAAACCTTGATTCTGGATTAATTTGGTACCACAACTGTTTCCTCTAAAGTTACTGGATCCAGTTATCAGGAAAATAAAAAAAATATATAATGATCTATAACTTCTTTTCAAAAAATAGTTTTTAATGATAAATGCATCACTATTGGCTTATTAACACTAAAGTTCTATGCTGACGACGAAATGGGAGAGCTCACGTTTCCCTTTATAAAGCCAAGATAAATTCATCTTTGCACTGCCACCCAGCATTTCCTGAACTGCTTATTGTGGTCTAGCATAGCTGTGTAGACTTCTGTAACACCCATCAAGTATTGGAAGATTGCTATCACATCACTTTTCAGTCTTCTTTTCTCCAGACTAAATATAGTGAAATCTGCCTAAGGTGGAATTGCATAGAGCCTGGAAAACATTCTGGCTTTAAATTAGCAGTCTTATAGGGGGAGTACTCACATTAGAAAGAAAATGTCATGCATATAAACATGTGTATTCACAGATATACTTAGTTTCCCATAAAAATGTAATACAATTAATATTAAAAATGCACAAAAAACAACCCCACACATTACAATTGTGTTACATATATTTTTGTTTACTTCCACAGTTCAAGAAATGTCTTTGCTGGCCACATTTGGAGGCAACAGCCTTTTCTGCAATGGTACACAGCTGAGTTAGGATACTCATCATATGAGGACTGTTAATACAAACAGCAAAGTCTTTCCATGCAGCAATGTTTCACAGACCTTCATGAAAATGTTATCTTATCTTTTTCATCCAATTCATGGATTACACCTTCTTCATCTTCTACTGACTCATTGTCACTGACCTTAGACTCAACCAGTTCTTCTGCTGTTTGGTAACTAGGCTCTGTGCTGAGTTTCGTATCTATGCCATTATACTTCATAGTATCAATATTTTTTATGTTCATTTGACCCATCAGTTCTTTAAGGTATTCAACTGGCACATCTGAGAAATTGTCTTCCACATCAGGCTCCATTCTTTCAAAAGCGAATCCAGTCTTATATAAACATTTGATGCCCTTACTGGGTCCAATTTGTTTTGCAGTAATGGAAATCCAAAGATGGCACCTAGCATTGAGAACTTTGCAAGTTCAGTGATTCTTAACAAGAGGTCATATTTGCCACCTATGACTGCAACATTAGTTTTCCATTATAAACCTTTAGTCAAACTTGATAACACGCAGGCTCATGGGTTGTGTTACACTAGTCATATTAGGAGGGAAGACAATTTTTACATTTGAACCTGCGAGTATTATCAAGGACTCTAGACAGACTTGTCATTTTAGTTTTACATTTTGAAATCTCGAAGCCAATTTTCATTAAACTAGATGTCATCCTTGCACATTAAGTTACAGGCAAGTCATCCTTCTTAATGTTTTTGAAGCATTGCAGGTTTTGATAATTTACTATTACCAGCAGTTTCTCCAGGTTTCCATCTGAAAAAATCACACACCAGTATGGTAAGTTTCTCTTTTCAGTGCTTCTCCCCAAGGTCCTTCTCCCCAATGTACTTTTCAGTTTAGAGAATTGAAGGCAATACTCTAAAAAACAATCCTGTCTCATCACAATTTGCTGAATTTTAAGGCTTGTAATCTTTGATCAACAGTTTGACATCATTTAACCATTCACTCACCGTTTCCTGGTTGACATTGCTGACCTCATTGTACACTTCGTTGAATGTTATGTTGTGTTGGCTTTGGAAACTCTCCAACCATCCATCTGATGCTTTAAACTTCTGTTTTCCAAGTTTGTCAGCAACCAGTTTTGTCTGACTGCAGAAATGTTCTGGATACAAGCAGATTCCTTGCATGGGCATCCACAAGTGATTCAAACAATCCCATTCAAATATTTGTTGCCTGTGGTCCAAGATTTCCACTTTGAACATGCATACTGTTCACTTTGAAACCACTCACCCCTCAGATCGTCTTTATTCTTTAAAATGTTGTAAATGTGTCTTCCCATATTTAAATTTAACTGTCAACTGTTTAGTATTTAACTTCTCCGGTTCATTAGCTTCGGAGACCTCAATGTTTTGCTTCAATGTTAATATGTTCATTTTCTTTCATGGCATTACACCACAGATGTAATCTACTCTATGTCCCTCTCTGTGTTATGGCACTATGAACTTGTTATAGGAAAGAGAAAGACAGTAAGTAGTACACACAGTGTAAGTGCACGTCTCGTAGTCCTAGGTTCAAAACCCATTCTTTCCAGTGACACTGCTACTGTTCTTTTTATAAAATCTTGTGTGTTCCTCTACAATGTCAATATCTTTACACATTCTCAAATCCTCTGATCACAAAAGGCATAATTACTCTGTGATATACAGGGTGATTCTCCAAATGGGCCCCATATTTCATTTACGTTTTCACATTAGACAGTTTCCGGCTTATACTAAGTAAAACTACATAATTCCCTATAAGACATGTTAGGACCACAGAAATTTTTCAACTTGAGCAGGTTTCCTGCTTTTACAGAGTTCCATCTCAGATTTCACTGCAGCAATAAAATGAAAAGAATGCATGAACATCTGCAGAGCACTCGTGGTGCTCTGGAGAGGTGCCGGAGGACTGGAAGAGGACCAACGTGGTTCCCATCTTCAAAAAGGGGAGGAAAGAGGACCCGGGGAACTACAGGCCAGTCAGCCTTACCTCGATCCTGGGCAAGCTGTTTGAGAAAATTATTCTGGCACACATCCAGAAGAGGCCAGCAGGGAACGGCATGCTGAGGGGCAACCAGCACGGGTTCATCAGCGGCAGGTCCTGTCAGACCAACCTGGTGGCCTATTACGACCTGGTGGCCTTTTACGATCATTGGATGCAGGGGTGGCAGTGGATATAGTTTTCCTAGACTTCAGGAAGGCTTTTGATACTGTCTCTCACCCCATTCTCATTAGGAAGCTGGGGGACTGTGGCATAGACACCCATACAGTCCAATGGGTCGCCAACTGGTTAGAGAG